GGTTCCTCAGAAAATTAAAAATAGACCTACCCTATGACCCAGCAATAGCACTGCTAGGAATTTACCCAAGGGATACAGGAGTACTGATGCATAGGGGCACTTGTACCCCAATGTTTATAGCAGCACTCTCAACAATAGCCAAATTATGGAAAGAGCCTAAATGTCCATCAACTGATGAATGGATAAAGAAATTGTGGTTTATATACACAATGGAGTACTACATGGCAATGAGAAAGAATGAAATATGGCACTTTGTAGCAACGTGGATGGAACTGGAGAGTGTGATGCTAAGCGAAATAAGCCATACAGAGAAAGACAGATACCATATGGTTTCACTCTTCTGTGGATCCTGAGAAACTTAACAGAAACCCATAGGGGAGGGGAAGGAAAAAAAAAAAAAAAGAGGTTAGAGTGGGAGAGAGTCAAAGCATAAGAGACTTAAAAACTGAGAACAAACTGAAGGTTGATGGGTGGGAGGGGGGGAGGGTGGGTGATGGGCATTGAGGAGGGCACCTTTTGGGATGAGCACTGGGTGTTGTATGGAAACCAATTTGACAATAAATTTCGTATACTGAAAAAAAAAGAAAAAGAAAAAGAGAGCGTGCATGTATGAGTGGGGGAGGGGCAGAGAGAGAGAGAATTTCAAGCAATCTCCAGCCTCTTAGCAAGGAGCCCGACATGGGGCTGTATCACATGACCGTGAGATCATGACCTAAGTAGAAACCAAGAGTCAGATGCCTAACCGACTGAGCCACCAAGGCATCCTAGTAACTCACTGGATTTTAACCAAATACTGCAAATCAGCAAAATTGCCCAAGCAAATAACCTAACTTGCTAACTTGAAGCTCTCCTCCCTTTTCTTCCCTCCATTCTTATTGCTAATGAGTATTTTTTATTTCTTACCAGTTGCTGACACCTGCAAAACTCTCTAAAAATATACCGAGGCTTCCTCAACTGGGAAAAAGTTTTCTCTTCCTTTTTAATTAAAAAAAATGTTTATTTTATTTTTGAGAGAGAGAGAGGCAGACAGAGAATCCCAAGCATCCTCTTTGCTCCCACTGCAGACCCTGAATCAAGGCTCAAACCCATAAACTGCTGAGATCATGACCCGAACTGAAATCAAGAGTGCAATGCTCAATCAACTGAGCCACCTAGGCGCCCCTGGGGAGATGTTTTCTGTGAGCAAAGAGCAGCCCTCCCCATTTTGTCAGGAACAAAAATCCAGGCTCCAGAGAATTCTGTGAGCAGTAATGATATTCTCCTGCTGCTCATGGGCCTGGCTTTAGTCCATGCTAAATTTTTTTTTAGAACAGGAAAGTTTTCCTTAACTGGAGAACCATACGCTTATCACAAAATGCAAGACATTTCTCTGCTTTAATTCTCAGGTGCGCTATTTGTTCTGTTGGCTCAGGAGCAACTTCCAAACTCATTGCCGAAGTGTACTCGGAATGAAGAAGACAAACCAGCCCATCAACCGAACAATAATTTCCACTTACGGGGGAAAATACGTCTTGCCAATTCAGTTCACATTTTCCCAAACACATTTGTAAAACTCTTTGCCCTGGATAATCTGTGATGCACAGAGTATAAAATAAAAGCCCCCACATGAAGTGACAAACGAGGCAGAGGCAAAGCAGTTAACAGTAAGAGCAAACACAAAAATAAAACAGCATCCGTCAGGTGCCATGTCAATCACATAAGATTGTTTTTCGCCGCTCATCGTCAAAGATTAAAGGCTGGATATTTAAGGTGTGGGAAAGAGGGGGTCACTTAATAATTTCAGCAAGGTGAGGAAGCGGTGTGGTGGGTTTGGGGAAAAAGAGATTTGGAGTCACACTTGGGGTCAAGTACCATATATTCTATGACTTAGCTGGGTCTCAGGAGGTCACCTGACTAGTTTCTCAGCCTCATTTCCACCAGACGTAGATGAGGATAATAGAAATGATGGCTCTCCATCCACCATGTTGGGATCTAGCGGGAAGCAAATGCGATATTGGACACGAAGTTACTGCACGGTGCTATATGAATATTGGTATTTCTAAAAAGAGGTCATATGAAAGAACAGAGGTAGGGAGTCAGTGGATGGGACTGTGGCATGTGAGAGCCCCTTCAGTCTGCCACCCACGTCCCTCATTCTAGTTCTGGGGGGCAAGGTTATCACACTTTTCCACTAGGGTGCAGGGGAGACTTTGGGGAGCATGCCACTCGGCTGTGGAGCTAGCCAAGGCCCTAGAATTTCCCTCTGGCTCAGGATGAGAGCCCTCCTTCATTGTTTCTATGGAAAACTCTGGGGTGTTTGCACTTGAAACTGTTCATTGAATTAGCAATGGACGGGGTTAAGGGCAGTTGGAGTGTTGGCTAGGGGAGGTAAATGGCTTTGAGATTCTCTCAAAGAGAGAGGGAAGAAAGCAGTAATCTGAAATAGTTTTGTCGTAACTGTGCCTGGATACTCTGTTCCAATTACTATGGGGCTTCAGGAGAAAGTAGAGAAGGAAAAAGCACAGAGAAAATAGAAAAAGAGGAGATATTCTAGCAACAGCAAGTGTGCATTCTGACTTGGCCAAGAGATGGAGTATCACTTCCCTCCTTCTACACCTCACTTGTGTCACATACTCAGGATTCCTGAGTCCCCATGGCCATGGCTGAGCCATCAACTCAAGAGGCGTAGGAACCTAAATGCATGGACATATATACCTTATACGTGTCTTCTCCATGAGCCAAGGCCATTCCTGAGGAGGACGCCCCGGCTTTGTGGGCCAGGAAATGATTTTGTGGGTTTGAGGTCTTAAGCTGAAGTTTAAGGATCTTTCCAGTCCTAAAATGTCCATACGACATCGATTCTTGTGATCTACTCAGAGAGTGATACTGGGGCTAAGCTTTCGGCACTGGGCTTAGGTATGGGATAAGAGTGAAGTTCACTGTAGATTCAGGGCTCTCTATGAGGCTGTCGCCAGAAGGAAGACCCCAAAACAGAAGCATGGGGTCCTCAGGAGATGATCTATGAAAACCCTCCCTGCCTCTCTAATGGGATTTCCTAGACGTGTACCCCCATGCACACAAGCAGTCCCCAAGCCTGGCTGTGCCCCAAGAATCATGCTGGGCCTTTATTTTAAAACTACAGATTCTCTGGTGTCCCGTCTTCTTGCTGCCTTGCCAAAATGAAGTAACTGGGTCTTGGATCCGAGAGCCTGGTGGTATTTTTAAATTGTTATATTAAATTATTTTTAATGTTTATTTATTGTGAGAGAGACAGAGCATGAGCAGGGGAGGGGCAGAGAGAGAGGGAGACCCAGAATCCGAAGCAGGCTCCAGGCTCTGAGCTGTCCACACAGAGCCTGACGCGGGGCTCGAACTCATGAACCAACTGTGAGATCATGACCTGAACCGATGTCAGATGCCCAACCGAATGAGCCACTTAGATGCCCCTATGATATTAAAGAATGAGCAATTTGAGTAAAAGAGTAGCTCTACCTCCCAGGCTAAGAACACACAATTTTTTTTTTTTAATTTATTAAATGTTTTTAAAAGTTTATTTAATTTGAGAGAGAGTACAAGCAGGGGAGGAACAGAGAGAGAGAGAGAGTGAGAGAATCCCAAGGAGACTCCACACTGTCAGCGTAGAGCCTGAGGCAGGGCTCGATCTCACCAACGGTGAGGTCATGACCTGAGCCGAAATTAAGAATCGGACGCTGATCCGACTGAGTCATCCAGGCGCCCCAGAATTGTTTCGTTTTTTTCAAGTCTACTTGTAACCCCTGCCTGTGGCCATATTTATATTTAGTATTTTTGTATTTTTCATATTATCATATGGAATCTGATTCTATTCTTATATTCTACGCTTTTCATTGAGCATTTTTCTAGTTCACCCTAGTTTTTTAGTTTACCTCCTTACTCCCCTTCCAGGTTACCACTGCTACAACATGTCACATTTTCTTGCACACATCTCAGTGCTTATACTATATAGGCTACTATACACACACATTCTCGGCTACTGGTTCTTTTACATAAATTTCTGTATATTGCTTTATTTCCAGCTAATACATCATGGCAATTCCCCAGGTCCCTAGGTGATGACATAACTCAAAGATGCATAATGTTTCGTGGTGTATTAATTAGGGTTCTCCGGAGAAACAAAACCAACGGGATGGGGGAGAATGGAGGGGAAGGACAGAATTTAAGCAATTGGCTCATAGGACTAAGTAAGCTTAGTCCAAAATCTGCAGAGTAGGCTGGGAGGCTGGAGACCCAGGGAAAAGCTGGCGTCCAAACCCAAAGGTAGTCTGCTGGCCGAATTCTCTCTTGCTATGGGCAGTTAGTCTCTGGAGCATTAGGGAAGACGGTCAGTCACATTACGGAGAGTAATCTGCTTTACTCAAAGCCCACCTATTTGAATGCAAATCTCATCCAAAAATACCTTTGCAGAAACATCCAGAAGTTGTTTGACCAAACATCTAGGCACTGTGGCCAAGACAAGCAGGCACATAGACTTAACCATCACACATGGTATAGGTGTAACTCACTTCACTCACTGCCCAATTCATTCCCCTAGTGATGGACTTAGAGAGTTTTTTTTTTTTCTCGTATATTCACCTTGCCTCTACAAACATGCTCATGTATCAAAATCTTTTTATTTTCACAGAATAGAATCCCAGGAGATTACTGGGTCCAAGGGTATGCTTAGTTGTAATTTCAACAGATGCTGTCAGATCACTCCTGAGATGAATTTTTGGTGCTGAAAACAAACTCTTAGGGTGACTCTCGCACAGCCAGGTCAGCCCTCATCAGTGAGAGCACAAAATTTAAACATTTTCCTCTTAGGCCAACGTGGAAGTGTTTACGAGGAACTTTCTCCAGGGCTGAGACCTTAAGTGTGAAGGGGTAACTGAGGCCAGCACATGGGATGACTTCCCGTTACCCACAGACACGGCGAGCGGTATCCTGGGAAGAGGGCAAGGAGCCTCGGCTATCTCTGAGAGACCCGGGTCAGGGATGGTGCAAGTTGCTTCATGTGACCTCACCGTGACCTTTGTGACTACTGGTAATATTTTGAGAGGTTAATTCTTCCCCCCTCCCATTCTGTCCTATTCCTTGCCTTCCCTTTGTTCAAGCAAGGAGCTTACACGAGCTAGGTGCCAATGAAGACACTCGAAGTGGCCTGGGCGGTTTCTCGTGTTGGACGGAATTTAGGAAATTTCCGCAGTGCCAGGAGGAAGCAAGATTTCTAAGTGAAGGCGGTGGCAAAACAAGCAGGGGGAAGGGGCTAGATCAAGGGCTGTGCCTAAGCTACGGGCAGCAGAAGAGAAAAGCCTGCCGATTCTGGAACCATTTAACTATCTGGCGGCGAAGGGGACAGGGGCTGAATGTCAGGCCTTGGCTGCCTCCCCAAAGATTCCCCCTTCCAGGCATAGCACCCCCTACCCACCCCAGGCTCAGCCCGAGCCCCCAGAACTATGGCACAGCCCTGGGTTAAAACCCCAGTCAGAAGTGACATTAATCATCTTGCCAGCAGAAAGGAAGGCTTGGAGTAGAAATCATGTTGATTTATGGCAAGGTTTCTTGACACCAGCTCCATTGATATTTTGAGCTGGGTGATTTTTTTTTTTTTTTTTTTTTTTTTTTCTGTGAGGTCCATCCTGTGCACTGTAGATGTTTAGCAACATTGTTGGCTACCCAATAAATACCAGTAGCACCCCTTCCCTGCCCCCAGTTTTGGTGACCAAATGTCAGACGTTGCCAAACGGTCGCTGGAGGTGGGGTGGATGGCACCTGATTGTGATCGAAGGGAAACTAAGGAAAGGCTGTTAGTTTCGAGTTTATGAGCAGAGACTCTTGGGCGGGATAGGCCTTGACATTGTTCTCTTCCTTGGGGAAGGGAGGCCGGCTAGACATCCTCCCAGATTTGCCTCCCTGATGATGTTTTGCTTGGGCTAATTATTAAACATTACCTTTCATTCTCTGAACCACTTGTCAACAGCAGATGCCATCCAGAAATGGAAGGACATGTATCTTAATTACACCTGCGGTGGTTAATGGGTCAGCGAGCATTCGGGGTGCCCTAAGCCCTTACTGACCTTTCCCAAGCTGGGGCCTGTCAGTTCCATGGCTGGGCCAGACTGCAATGAATGCCAGTTCTGGAAATGCTGGCTGCCCTCCAGGGCCTTTTAGTTCCACACTAATAAGCCTGATTTAGGCTTTGCATTGCAGACCAGCAACCAAGTGTTATTGCCAGCCATGGCAAATAACTGATGTCCGCGGTCTTTTCAGAGCAAGCAAATGAACGTGATATTTTCCCCGCCTCCTCTCTTCTCACTGAGAAGATGATTCTTGGAGATAATCCACTTGGTTATCCATGGATGTGAACATAATTTGGAAGCAGCAGTCATGCCAGATGGCCAGCTCAAGCTGGGAGCCCTGAGTAGATTCCTGAGCCAAATTTCTCATTCCCTGGAGGAGCAGAGTAGAGGGTGTGTATGGCTGGGGAAGGCCAAGCTTTTATTTCTGGAAAAGAAGTGAAGACACGGAGAGGCCGGCATGAATGGCCACTGTCCTTGCCAAATATGCATGGTATGACTTAGGTGAATGATTGAGAAAGCTTCCTGAGTGCCAGTGTGGACAGATCCCTGAACAGGACGCCCCAGGCAGCTGTGGAATGCCCTTTCCTGGAGGTCAGGGCCACCTGGGTGGTTCTGACT